CTCTCAATGGCAGGGTGAAAAAAAGCTTACGTGTCCCAGAAATCTTGAAGGGCTATGGAGAGAAAGCTTTAAGTATCTTTTCTTATTGCCCTCTTCTTAGAAAGTAACTGCATATCAGCACAAATTACGATTTTAACTAAAATGGACATGCAAAAACTATAGATTCATGAGGAAGTTCTGACTATGCCAAGGCTCAGGTCAAGTTGAATTTATTGTTTAGTATTAGATTCAGTTTCCAATTACTCTTAAGAATCCTCAGTTTGACACATCTTAGGCAAACCTAATATGCTCAATGAATGTTATACTCTTCCTAGAGGGCTGGAAAAAGGATAACTGAAAATGCAAGTTATTCAAGCTATTCTGTCTGATCTGGGTTCCCAATGATCCCAGAAAATATCAAACCCCTCTTCCCCAGAAAATTGAGTCATATATACCTAGGCAGTACCCAATAAGTGTGAAATGGCCATGCTGGGCATCTTTCCTCTTGTGTGTCTTCAGAGCCTCAGCGGCAAACCTGAGATATTTTCAGGGGGCTCCCCTCCTCTCCAAGAGAACACAAGAGTTCACCTGAGGTGACAGGGAGCACCAGCAGTTGCTTGGAATGGTCATGCTTCACAACACTTACAATCTCCTGGTAGCATCCCTTCTAAACGGCACAATGCCTAAAACATCTTCATTCAAAGTACAAGCAAAGATGGGCTGCTTTTTCTTTTTCCCTTTTGGGAGGCTATGTCAAGTACAGGAGTCTAAATTATCCCCTACGTTCATCCTAGCCAGGGAAGGATATCCACATTAAGTACTCATGGGATTGGGGAGAAAATAACACACATACCTCGGCAGCTGCCAAAAGCAAATGCTAAAATACAAAATAAGCAACATCATTTTAGCACTCCTTTCTCCCCAGCCTTGAAACATGTGATGCTGCTTTTTTGAGTTGAAATATTTCCCAGAAGTCTATATGGGCAAAATACCTGCTTCATTAATGTGAGCTAAATAAACGTCGATTTATTTAAAGACAGACAAAAGACAGTATCAATCTCCCTCCCTACATAAAGCTTGCTATCTAAGGGGAGATTCTCTCTCCTCTAGGGATCTGAAGCAGGAACAGCATCATTTAACCTGCTAAGGTGGTATTCACCTGGCCCCTCAAAGGAACTCTCCTTCTACCCTGGGGAAATACCTTATGTTGGAATTTCCCTTCCTCTTACTAGAAGGAAGTAGCCTCTAATGGGGAAGGCACCCATGGCTTCTCTCCTATGTACACTCTAGGCAGCTTGGCCTACTGGGAGACTAGGGCCACAGTTTGGAATCACACTTTATAGAATACCCACCCAAGGTTGTTTTATGG